AAAAGCTAAGGGACTGATTACCTCAAACTCCTTCTGTTATTCACCATTCTTCTTTGTATGGACTGATGAAGCCACTGTGTGGTGAAATGTTTCCCCATTAAAGATACCTAAGTGTTGCACATGTGTCTAATTTATCAACTTGTCGGTTCTCTGAACCATTCATCTACAACACATTTACTTCTGTGAGGCGCCCGCATATATAACCCATATTTTTATATTATGTTTTTAAACCCTGAATGTTACCAAAAAAAGGGGGGAAGGGGAAGGCGTAATTATCATTTTGGATGTTTGAGTTATTGAGCTTTGCTAGTGCTTCTGATACCATCTTGTAATAAGTGAATATTAAAGTGGTATAAAATACCGACAGGTTGTTAGGTATGACACAACTTGTCAGACACTGCAGCATCATGGAATCTTAGTTCAGAGGACATCTACATGACCTTCTTCACGGCTACTACAACCCATCCCTTTGGGTATGACCTACTTCCACTGGGAAATCCCGCCTACCAGTGACTATGCCCTCGTCTACTACACGTCCCTATCCGCTGACGCCTATATAAGCTCACCCCACCGGAGTCTTACCAACAGAAGAGCCTGCTATTCCTGTTCTCAATGTCTGTCACACGATCGCCTTAGCTGCTGGGTTAAGCCCTGGCTCTATTTCTACGACTAAGAACACTCCTCTCCAGCGCTATTCTTCGTCTGTCCCGTCTTTTCCGCTCATCCCATTGTGATCTTACCTGCACTTGTTCGTTCGTTCGTTCGTTTGCCAGAATCTCTACGACCACGGTGCTCTCCACACCAACTCCAAGGCTGAGGGACTGATTACCTCATCTTTTGTATATAGTTTTACTGTCTTCTAGTTATGTCCTAGAATCTGTATTGATAAAGCCACTGGATGGCGAAACTTCTACAGTAAAGTATACATTTCTTGCACAACTTGTCAGACACTGCAACATCATGGAATCTTGGTTCAGAGGACATCTACAAGACCTTCTTCACGGCTACTACAACTAACCCATCTCTTTGGGAAGGACCTACTTCCACTGGGGAATCCCGCCTACCAGTGACTATGCCCTCGTCTGCTGCATGTCCTTATCCACTGACGCATATATAACCGCCAGTCTTCTTGCCTTTGCTCCAGATTCTCCTCCACCACGATGCTGTGAACACTAACTCCAAGGCTGAGGGACTGATTACCTCATCTTTTGTATATAGTTCTACAGTCTTCCAATTATGCCCTAGAATTTGTATTGATAAAGCCACTGGATGGCGAAACGTCTACAATAAAGATATCCAGATGTTGCACATGTGTCTTAACTTTCATCAACACACATATGAAATGTGGAAAAAGACACTTATGTACAGTTCAGGACATTTATTAAAGGAAACGTTTCGCCACGAGTGGCTTCTTCAGTCCTAATACAGAGAAAACTAAGAAAACATTTATATATATAGTGGCAGGAGTCAGGTGAGGTGACACGTGGGTAGTGGTGGCAGTAGTAGTAGTAGTAGTAGTAGTAGTAGTAGTAGTAGTAGTAGTAGTAGTAGTAGTAGTAGTAGTAGTAATGGAACTAAGGAGGTGAGGTTAGAGAGGGACCTGCTGGCATCAAGTAACACCAGTTCCCAGGATGGGTAATATCCTCTTGCTTAGTAATTTTGAAATACTGTAACTACCGGATTTTTGCTTTATAGTGTTACTGACAGAGATTAGTGCAGCTTCAATGCATTTTCTCCGTCTTAAGTCGTCTTCTTTAATAACTAGTTTAGCTTCATTGAATTTCATGAGGTGTCCAACATCGTCTCTATGTTGAACACATGCGTTTTTGCAGTCATCATTTCTGCAAGCATTTTTGTGTTCTGCTATTCTAATGTCCAGAGTTCTGGCTGTTTCCCCTACATATACTTTGTCACACCCCCCACATGGTATAGTGTAGATTCCTGCACTTGTGCCAGAATCATGCTTGGGTTTTTGTATCAGGTTCCTAATAGTAGTTGAAGAGCTAGTAGATATTTTAGCCAGTTTTCCTCCATTCTTATGTTCTTATGTAAATACTCTTCTCCAGGCTGAGGGACTGACCACCTGAAATCTACGTCTTCACATCGCTTAAGCTTCTACCAACTTTTCTGTACTCGACTGAAGAAGCCTACTGTGTAAGCGAAACATTTGGAAATAAAGATACCTAACTGTTGCATTTGTGTCTTACCTAACAACCACGTCTTGTAATAAGGTATACAACTCCCTGTTGTGATGAATGGTTTGAAAAACCGACAAGTTGAAGATTGAGACACTTATGCAACATATGGGAATCTTTATTCAGGAAACGTTTCGCCACACAGTGGCTTCATCAGTCCAATACAAAGTAGAAAGGGGTAAGGAGAGGAGGAGTTTGAGGTAATCAGTCCCTCAGCCTGGAGTCGATGTGTTCAGTCCATAAGTCCAGGCTGAGGGACTGATTACCTCAAACTCCTCCTCTCGTTACGCCTTTCTACTTTGTATTGGACTGATGAAGCCACTGTGTGGCGAAACGTTTCCTGAATAACGATTCCCATATGTTGCATAAGTGTCTCAATCTTCAAGTCCCTGTTGTCTCTGTAGCGGTGGCTGCACTGTGGCCTGGTGTGGCTGCACTGTGACCTGGTGTAGGTTTGACCCTGCTGTGTCAAACACTGTTTCATTGTCTTCCACAGCCTTGCATTTCTGTACCACACGTTGTTTTTAATTATTTGTCTCTTTTCTTTCCTTTGGACCGTCACCCTCCCCCCCCCCCCATCTCTCTCTCCCATTAAAAATGGCGCTTTGTTTACAATGCATTCGTTTTGCTAACGAGTTATATAGTAGAGTTGCATTCTTTTCACGTTGAAGATATGCACAGTGTTGTAGGATTGTGTAGTGTTGGAGGCGTATGGAGTGTTGTGGTAGAGAGTTGGAAATGTACAGAGTGTTGTGGTATATAGTGTTGTATGTGTAGTGTTGGAGGTGTGTGTAGTGTTGGAGGTGGCGCCAGGGAGGCAGCTGCTGCCAACCTGGCCACCTTATACTATGCTAATGTCGGGTGGCCAACCTGGCAAGCCACAAAGAACTTGATTATGGACCACAGCCAGGGGTAGTTGTAGTTGTGGTGGTGGTAGTTGTGGTGGCGGTAGTTGAAGTAGCTGGACTAGCTGAAGTGGTAGTTGCTGTGATGGTGGTAGTTATTGCTATGATGGTGTTAGCAACTGTCTAGGGTGTTCCTAAAATTTAGGCGCTTGAATTAATATAGTGAAGGCTCTCTGCACATTCTCCACGTCTACAGCATATTCTATACAACTTGATTATAGATATGCAATACTGACAAGTTGATGACACATGTGCAACATCTGGGTATCTTTACTGAAGACGTTTCACCATCCAGTGGCTTTATCAATACAGATTCAAGGACATAACAGGAGAACAGTCGAACTATATACCTGACGCCAGTATATAAGCGCCTGTCTTCATAATCTCTGAGTACATAAGAACATAAGAAAGAAGGAAAACTGCAGCAGGCCTACTGGCCCATGCGAGGCAGGTCCAAGTCTCCTACCGGCTTAAGCCAATGCCCCAACCTAGTCTGGTAGTCACTAGATGACGAAACATCTACAGTAAAGATACCCAGATGTTGCATATGTCTAATTCTTGAACACCTGGTTGTCGTCACTGCCGCCACTTTAGTCGAATAAAAAGGCGACTTTAATACTGGAGACAGTGGAAGCGGAGAGTGAATTTCAAGGTCAGTCCCGTAGAACTGATAGGTGTAAAGTGCAGTGGAACCTCAATGTTTAAACTTAATTGGCTCCTACGTGGTGTTCGAACCGCAAAAAGTTCGATGTGGGAAACAGTTTGAACATTAAAATGGTATAAAATACCGACAGGTTGTTAGGTAAGACACGTATGCAACAGTTAGGTATCTTTATTATGAAACGTTTCGCCTACACAGTAGGCTTCTTCAGTCAAGCTTCTATCAACTTTTCTGTACTTGACTGAAGAAGCCTACTGTGTAGGCGAAACGTTTCATAATAAAGATACCTAACTGTTGCATACGTGTCTTACCTAACAACGTGGGAAACAGTATTTTCCAGGCTTTATCAGCCTCATACACTGGAGGATTGTAATCAAGTTGGTAGAATTACCGACAGTAGAATCACTCTCCAGGAGTGAAACGTTGCCACAATAAAATGTCACATTAGTTGCACTTGTGTCCTTTTACTTTACACACTGGAGGATGTTGAACTGACTCTTCTTCCAAAAGTCTCCGAGAGTCAGGTGAGTGTAAGAGGTCACTTCAAAGAACTTTTGAAACAGGGCTTTCCTGTATTTTTTTACAACTGAATTTTAAACAAGTCAGCGTGTTCGGACTCCTGAAAAACGTTCAAAGACCTGGTCAATTTTTTTCTGAAACAAAATTGTTCGGACTCCGGTCCGGTACTTCGAAAACCGAGGTTTCAGTCTCCAGTATAAGTCATCTTTGTATTCGACTGAAGAAGTCTGCCGTGGAGGAGAAACGTTTCGGCAATATACCCAAGTGTTGTACAAGTGTTTTGTTTATCACTTGAGACTGTCTGAAATCGGGCTATTAGTGTATTAATGACGTTACTTCGCAGTGTTGTTTCTTCTCACGCTGGAGGTGTGTGTAGTGTTGCGGTCCAGTATAACTTAACGAAGCTCCTGGAGACCGAAACTTGCCACAATAAAATGTCGCATTAGTTGGCCTAAAGATACTATCGTCATTTCATTATCCTTATTGCTCAATATTATTATAATCATGGGGGAGCGCTAGACCTGTAGGGATTATACAGCGCCTGTGGGGGGGGGGATGAAAGGTATTCGGGCTCAATTCAGGGAACTGGAGCACAGATCAATTTTCAGTGCCGGATCAGCAGGGCGGATGGCTTGGATCGTTCGTTGGACTGCGTGCGGCCAGCAGTAACAGGATAAAGTTGTACAGGCCATGATCCATCGGGAGGCCTGGTCATGGACGGGGCCGCGGGGGTGTTGATCCCCGGAATAACCTCCAGGTAACCTAGATCAAGAGCCCCTCACTAGCGCCAAGGAACCTCCCTTGAGGGGTTCTGGGATCGAAATATACAGGTAAATTAATCTTCTGAGTTGGTTTCCATCTCAGTTATTATTGAACATTGACAATTGTTCATTACCCTTTAGTTATTCATTATCGTTAATGTTGTATTTATTTATTCATGTTTCTGTGAAAAGTCATACGAGTATTTGCCCAATATTTACAGTCGGGAAGTGTGCCGTTGACCATTCTTATAGTGACTTCATTAAGTTACAGTTACGAAGGATTTATACACCGAGAGGTGTATATCTGTGTATATACACTGAATTTTTTTACTTTAATCCGTTTTAGGAATTAAAACATTTTTGATTGTCGGCGAACAGGTGGGATGCAGCCTCCATGACCCTCGTGTAGTCGATAGGCTTTCAGCTCCATTAACCAAGCAACAGTTGCGAGAGTCAGGAGCGACCTATTATAAATCTTTGCTAGCAGTCTTGAAAATTGTATAAGAACAAAAGAACATGAACACTACGCAGGCATACTGACATGCGAGCTGGTCCAAGTCTCCTACGGCTTTTAGCCAATGCCCCAACCTGGTCATGACAAATGTTGCAACAGTTGGGTATTTTTTCAGTTGAAATGTTTCGCCTTCACAGTAGGTTTCTTCAGTCAAATACATATTATATTATATTATAATCAAAAAGAAGCGCTAAGCCACAAGGACCTATACAGCGCTTGCAGGGCAAGGAAGGAAGCAGGGCATCAGGTGGCAAAAGGAGATGGCATGCGTAATAGGGTTACTCGGATAACAGCGGGTTGTGGGATGGTGAAGGGTAAAGGGCAGCAAGAGACTGAACAAGAAAGGCTGAGGGGAGTGCCGAAAAGTATCATTTCAAGAGTTTGTGGAGTGTAAATCAGTCGTTGTCAAGAAGTCAATGAGAGAGTCAGGATTAAGGAGGCGTCCATCAGCAAGAAGGGAAGGTAAAGAAAGAGGAAGTAGAACGAGACGAAGTTGGATGGTTAAATTCTGCGTGCTCGTTTGATAGAGGAGAGCCTAGTTTAAGATGTGGCTAATCGATACTGGAAACTTGACATGCTCCACAGAGAAGAACAGGGTGCCTGCTCCATGAGATAACCCATGAGTAAGACGTGTGTGGTCAATTGCGAGGCGGGAGGAGATGGGTCTCCCAACCTCGGCACTGATGACAAGAAGACGGCCATAACCTATGTCGGTTTAATGATTGAAGTTTGCTTACCGAGCAGCGTTGACCCAACGTTGTTGTCCAACGGGGTGCGATAGTGGGTAGCTATTGCAGGCAAAATAGTCCAGAAATGGAACACCTACGATAGGGATTCGGCTAGGTTAGGTCATGTAATGGCTGACCACGCAGCAGTGTCTGCCTGTTCAATTGCCTGTACGTCGACCATGACAGGGACCCAACAAAAAACAATATCTTTATGTTTGTAGACCCCTCCCCCTCCTACCCCCCGTCGAACCCCCCCCCCCGCCAAAGTTGGATATGGAGAAACTAGGTATGAGTTGTATCAAATTTTCGTATAGCCTGTTAGAGCACTTAAGGGAGTCTGAGACTACTACAAATGAAGACACAGGCATAAGATGCGATACGAATAAGTGCTGCAAGGAATGGCATAAAGTGCAGCAGTAAAAATGCTAGCTGAAGATAGTAAATGCCCCCGCACGGATTGCTGTCCGGAAAACACTGATGCGATTACGACGCCGTCTGAAGACTTAGAGCCATCTGTTGTTACACAGCTCGGTGGCATGAGAATGGAGTGAAGTGATCAGGAAAAGAGAGCGGGAAGCCACGTAGGCAGTTGAGCTTTCGAGCAAGGGATGTGAGAAAAGAACAGACCAAACAGCTGGAACTTCCAGAGGGGGTAGAAAAAAGTGAGATGCTACATGAACATAATAAAGGTGGTAACTGAAGGCCGAGAAGACAAAGAAGTGTATGTAGGCGAGAGAAAAGGACGGAAGCAAAACAGGGGTGGCGACACGAATAAGTATGTCTACTAATTTCGGTGACCAACCATTCTATAAATGGAAAAGGTTTGTGTTAGATCGTAGCGAGCGTTACATAGTAGCCGAAGGCAATGGGCATCACGAGACGATCAGACAAGGATGGACATTCGCTTCTGTATAGAGGCTCTCAACAGGGGGGAAAAAAGGAAGAGCGTAAAGCACCAAGGCACTAAACGTATCTTGGTGATGGATAGAGTTAAGGCTTGAGAGAGTAGCAGGAGATGGCGACGGAATAAATCTTGTCACCATAATAGAGTTTCGATAAAACAAGGGCTGATTGTAGGCGAAGCAGAGTTTCGACGATCGCTCCAGGATAGATGAGCAAGGGTTTTTAAGATGGTTTAGCCCGGCTGTGGGACAAGTTGCTTCAGGAGGAATGTGACGTTTCCAGGATAACGACGGTCAAGGAGAAGGCCTAGAAACCTGACTGTATCATATTCGGGGATACTGGGGGAGAGCCATTAGAGATACAAAGGGTGATCGGAGATTAACGAGCGTCTAGTGATGTAATTTGGTGAAGTTTTGGTACTTGAAAATTTATACCCTGCGTGGTGGCCAAGTGGAAACACGGTTGACCACTTGTGGAGAGAAACTGCAATAAGGTGACAGTCAGGCCTGCACAAGCCCCAAATAGCGAAGTCATCAACATTGAGTGATGACAAAATATTGGGTGGAAGAAACAGAGGCCAAACTTTTATTCAAGGAGAAAAAGGATGTTGTGCTTAGAACACATCCCTGAGGGACACCTCAGCTTGAGGACTAAAGTCAGGGGACCCCCCACGGGGGAAAGAAACATTATTGACTCAAACACGGGGAAAACATGTTCTGTCGCTTAAAAAGTTCTTAAGAAGGATGGCAGATTGCCTCAGAGGCTATGGAATGGGCCTGGGCCAAAATATTTTACACTCCAGTGTGTAATATGCCTTCTCAAGGTCAAAAAATTTGGCACTAACTGAGTGGATTATTCGCAACCAAAGGCATTACGCAACATAGTATCCATGCGTAGTAAGGGGTCTATGGTAGAACGACCCTTACGGAAAGCCATATTGACTAGCGGAGAGACCTGTTGTGTGTTCTAAATACCACATTAAAAGCCGATTATATTTACGAGACGTTCCATCACTTTGCATATGCACTAGTAAGAGCGATGGGGCGATAGTGGGCGGCCTCATGTCTGTAGTACCCGGTTTGCAGATAGGGCAGAGAACAATGGCAGATTTCACAGCTGGGGAAGAACTCTTGTGCCCAAATAAGTTGTAGAGGTGTAAGAGGACTAAAAGGGTCTGACCGATGTAAATGTTTGTAACATCGAATATGAATGACGTCGGCCAGCTGCCTCGCTCATGATCGCAAGCTGAGAGGTTGGCTCCAATTCTTGAAGTTGTTAAAGGGCACAAGTATACTGTTCTTTCTCGACGGAGAAGATAAGTTCCAAGGGTACTAACTCTCTGGGCAGACTTTGAGGAAAGAAACGAGGGGCTTTGATGGAGCCCTCGGGGAAATACGGGACCAGATGTGTGCCTAGTTCCAATGGCAACGTCTAGAGGGTTTGCTACATAAACACCAGTGACCGTAGTCTTAGAACAGGAGCCGGTCAGGAGAGTATTTCCACTCTATTTCACTCACTTTTTTCCAGACTGCACTCTTAGGGGGGGGAAAAAGAAGCAGTGGAGATGGTGGAAACATAGTCTCGCAACAAGTGCGTTTAGCTTCAAGGATATGACACGGGTGAGCTGACGCACGACTTCTGCCTTAAAATCAAGAAGTCTTCAGCGGTTCTATTGTTATGGTACCTGCCCATGCAGCCGTTTCAAACGTACTGCATGAACACCAGCAGGAGACACCAAGGCACGGACTTCTGAGAATGCCTCTGCCTGAGGTTTGGGTTGTACTAGAATGAGAAGCCTGCGGATAAACTGACGTCGAGAAGATGTGTAGGAGCTCATTCTAATGGTGGATAAGATGGATCCTCACTAAAGCATGTGAGGTGGAGTAAAGATCCCAATTTGGGCCGATCAAATTGCCAGCGAGGGATACGGAAATAGGTGGTGTATTGGAAGGAGTAGTAGAATTTATCGGAAATGTTCGTGTCATGTAAGTATGGATAGAAACAGACCAGGGTAGTCTAGTGCAGTGGAGGTAAGAGCAGACTGACTAGATCAAATGCAAGAGAGAGTATGAGTACGTGGTGGGAGAGAGTAACCCGGATTGAAAACCATGGAAGGGGGGGAGAGGCGAGAAAGCCTCCAATACTGGTGCCACGTGAGTCACAATGAGACCCCCCCCCCTCCAGTGGAAATCGGTGGCATTAAATTACCAAGTAAAACAGAAGTGGTTGTCGGTAAGGGATTTTTTGAAACAAGAAAGGCAGAAAGTGGGTTAGTAAAATGCCCGAGAAGGAGAGGATTTAAGAACTTATTGTAAACAATTATTCAAGTCGATACGGGCTGCTGGTGTTATGCACGAGGTATGGACATTAGTTGGTCGTACGGAATATCATTGCGTAGAAGGGCACTTTCATTTAAAGGTCCCAATCTGAGATGGATCCGAAGAATACAATAAATTATAGCCTGAGTCTATAGGTTGGAAACAGGCCGTTAGGTTGTTATTTTTTGGTTCTTGTAGCAAGCACCAACAGGGGAAAATCTGGAAAAGCAACATTGAAGCTCACCCGATTACCCCTGAGGCCGAGGATATTCCACTGGAAATTAGGGGCCATGTTTGGCGGATGGAAGAAAATTCCAGGTAATCTGTTGGTAAAGGACCCTACGGACTAGAGGGTTAGAAAAGTCAAATGTCGTGGGCATTGGAAGACGTTCAAGTAGCGAAGGAACGGAGCGTTGGAAAGAATGGGGTTGTGAAGATGGAGGAGAGGAGAGGGGAAGAGAAGGAACAGGAATGAATCAAGTGTCCATTGATGGTTTAGTCTCTGGCAATATATTCTGAAATGGCTTCAGTGGTTTCTGATTCAAAGGATGTATGGGAGACATATTGGAGATAGAAGGAGGAGGTGTGAGTAAAGATTCGGGACAG